ACAACAAACAAACGCTGAGTAACGTAGATAATCTGCAATCACAACAAACAAACGCTGAGTAACGTAGATAATCTGCATCACAACAAACAAACGCTGAGTAACGTAGATAATCTGCATCACAACAAACAAACGCTGAGTAACGTAGATAATCTGCAATCACAACAAACAAACGCTGAGTAACGTAGATAATCTGCATCACAACAAACAAACGCTGAGTAACGTAGATAATCTGCATCACAACAAACAAACTCTGAGTAACGTAGATAATCACGGAGAGAGGTAAAATCTATATTTTTTATGATGAAAAAATAATCCCAATATACTCCCAAGGTAACAATGATGACACAGAGGCATCATAGTTTGTGGCGTTACAACAAAACAGAAGAAAGGTGGAACACAGGCGTTTACCTTGGTCTGAAGGTTTTGCATGGACTTCTCAAAGGTTTTGGGCGGAGCTCTCTGGTGGTTACAGAGGATGGCCACCGCCCGGTTGGCACGGTTGTACGACAGGACTTTAGCAGGAAGGCTGTCATCAGCTGGAGACCCAACAATTACACAACAGGGTAGGAGAAGTATCATCAAATTATTGCAATTTTGAAATCACTGACCAAAATGTTGTTGTGATTATGCATTTAAAAGGAACAATAAGTCTTAATTTAGTACACTAAATTACAGTTACCAGACCTGTTGTAAATGTAATTATGAAGACATCTGTAATATAGCATTCAAAGTCCCATCTTCTTCTCATCTCATCTCTTCTCCTACATCCCCTCTTCTTCTTAAACCATTTTTAGTACATATAAAGAACATCACAAATATGTTGCTATATCGTACCTGTTTGTCTTACACTTGACAATGCAGAAATTCAAACATCTAGTGTTGGTATAATTGCCAGACGATGTTGATAAACTCTCAGGAGCTTAAGCAATGCGGTGACATTCAAGTGAGCTGCATGTGACTGTCTGAAGCTGCTGTTACTCACGGCAGGCAAGTTCCTTCAGCTGCTGCTGCAGGGTGATGGAGGCGTTGTAGGTACGAAAGACCTTGGCTGTCAGGCCATCCATCAGCTCCTGTAAGTGCTTATTCAGAATAGAGGTCTGCATGAGACACAGAGAAAGAAAAGAGGGAAAGGGGGAGTAGTTAGGAGAAGCAGAGGAAAAAGAGTCATACAAGTGTTACAGGAATCTAAACAGATCACTTAGACTGAAGCCCAGAGGGCGGATATTCTTCATGTGTGTGTTTCTTACATTCAGCCTGTCAAAGAGGTCATCCTCAGGCTGCTTGTTCTCCAGGAACAGCTGGAGGTTTTTAAAAACCTGAAAGGAAGTTGGCAAAGATTGTTTTAGCATGATATCACTTTGATTTGACACTTGAGACTAAAGTGCCTTCCACACCAAGAACAAAGAAGCAACAGCTTTTATTTGATTTTACTTCCGAAACAAGTCTCTTTTTTTTTTTTTTTTTGTATAACCTTTTACCTTTCTAAAGGTCATTGAGTATGCATTTGTTAATATGTTTTACATTAAAGCTTCTGCCGATTGTCTTCATATGCTGGACCCTGAACAATGTGATCTGGAAAACCCTTTCAGTTTTACTCCTTTTACTATTGATGTTGTTCATGAAGCCTTATCCAAGTTAGATCCTAAGAAACCGGCTGGCCCGGACAACGTAGAACCTTTCTTTTTAAAGATAGCTGCAGATTTTATTGCTCCACCTCTCACTACTCTTTTTAACCTCTCCCTCAGAACAAACACCATTCCAAAAATATGGAAGTCAGCTTATGTCCTGCCTTTACTAAAAGGAGGGGAGGCAACTATTTAAATGATTATAGGCCCATCTCTAAATTGTCAGTTCTGGCGAAGGTGCTCGAACGCCTAGTGAGTGAACAGGTAAAGTAGTTTTTATGTACAAATGACATCCTATCTAAACATCAGTCAGGTTTCAGAAAGAAACATAGCACCATCACTGCGACAATGAAAGTGGGGAATTACATTACGAGTATTTTAGATAATAAACAGAGTTGTGCAGCTCTATTTATTGACCTTTCCAAAGCGTTTGATATCGTCGATCATCGCATCTTAAAGCAGAGGCTAGCCAGTATAGGCATGTCCAGCCATGCAGTGGGGTGGTTTGTGAACTACCTCTCTGAAAGGTCCCAATGTGTTGACTTTGATGGGCTGTCTTC